CACCATGTATGCATTAGATTAACTAACAGAAATAGGCTCTCGGAACAAGGCAAAATTTGCCCACAATCAAGTTGAGTTTAAAACACTGTACTGTACTCAACTCACATATATGCTTCTACCCTCTTGTGTTCACATTTACCTGACAGGCATAACAGAATTATATGTGAGGCATCGTGGTGAAATCAGGCGCTCGTCAAAATAATGAAATCAAAGAAACCAGCATTTATCAGGCTGATGGGCAATCTTTTTCCGAATTTTCTTTTTTGGGCTCAACACCTTTAATGTCCAATTAAAAACATATTCCAGTGTGGATTTTTACTGAAAATGTTGATCAAAGGCACAAAAAATGTAACTTTGTAGTTTCCAAGGACGACTATCACGCTTTGAAAGTCACCACCGAAAGTTGGTGGCCATTTTCTTGATAATTTCACATCTGACACCAGGTGACCCCCCACCTTCTTCAATAGTAATAAAATATATCGACTTCTTCTTAAGATACATCGGTACTTCTTTTCATCAAAAGCAAGACAAAAGAACAAGCTTTAACTTAGTTTTTGTTATCGATCCAGACAGCTTTAGCTTTAAGATGATACCAATAACTTCATGTGCCCCCAAATTGACCAGCGCCTGATTCTACCGCATACACACACATGTATACTTACACACCCAAGAGTGTGTTCAAAGACTTGCAAATATGCATTGATTGTGATTTCAGTGCAAATATGCAATGATTGTGATTTCAGTGCAAATATGCAATGATTGTGATTTCAGTGCAAATATGCAATGATTGTGATTTCAGTTTCTAGGCAAGAAAGAAGAAAGAAAAACAAAGTCCATAAAACCTGACCCCAAACAGCAACCCGTTGTCCAGTTACAAGGAGAATTATTTCACTTGACAAAAAAATGCTTTCAAAATGATTTTACGAAAAAACAGAACAGACACAAAACACTCATGGTAATATTTGTGAGGTGTGCTGACAAAATGAGGTACTTCTCGCTGTCCAAGCATGGAGATATCGGTCGAAAATCGACACTGCGGTCAGATTTATAGATTTAATTGATACCATTTGTTCAAGTCTACCATGTCTTTTATTCTTCCATACTTACAAATTGTACAAAATCCACCTATAAAGTTGATGTATTAACTTCCATAAGGCTAAAATCGGAGAAGTAACTCATTTTGTCAGCGCACCTCACATTTCATGACTTCTGGAAGGATTTCTTTAGTTTTCTTCTGTCTGTCTATGGCTCTCTCATCAAATCAGGCTGACGACTTATCGGTGAAATTTTATGCTCCTTTAGACGCATTTCTACTGCTCAGCAGAGTTAGTGTAAGACATTACCTCGCCATACGCCGTTGATAAAAGTGACATATACGACAATTTTACACTGAGCACTTACAATTTGAGATAATCTCTTGGGCATGGGATGGGGTGGGGGTGGGGGTGTGAGGAGGATGGGTTTGCTTCAATCCTGGCGCTGGATGGGAGGGAAATAGCAACCCAGCACAAACTGAAGATGCTCCATATAATAACATTCCCACGTGAGTGAGAATTGAACCCCTGCCTTCTTCCTGAAACTGCCAAGAAGTGTCTACTAAACATTATAATCATATACCACAGACGACAATCATGCCGTCAGCAACTCTTACATTGAGCTCCACACACATATATCATGAACCACTTCCACTCTCTCGCCCTTTCCTCATCTCCTCACTAGCCCCTCTCGCTCTCTCTGTCTCTCTATCTCACTGACAACTCTTTCATTTCAAGAAAACACGAAAGAAATCAACACAGCGAACTTTCTTCACAACAATATCACCATCCAGGCACTGCAAAACCAGACCTCTCAGAGAGAGAGAGAGAGAGAGAGAGAGGGAGGGAGGGAGAGGAGAGAGAGAGAGAGAGAGGGAGGGAGGGAGGGAGGGAGGGAGAGAGAGAGAGAGAGAGAGAGAGAGAGAGAGAGAGCAAGCGAGAGCGAGAGAGAGAGAGAGTGAGAGAGAGAGAGAGAGAGAGAGAGAGAGAGAGAGAGAGAGAGAGAGAGAGAGAGAGAGAGAGAGAGAGAGAGAGAGAGAGAGAGAGAGAGAGAGAGAGAGAGTTTTACGGAGCAGGTGTTTCAGTCGTGTACCTACAACTACAGTTCACTACGCTTGTAGCTATGTTGTTGAGGGATCACAAAAAGATGGCTGCCTCCCAAGTTTGCAACAGCCGTCGGAAGAAAAAATTAAGGGAAATAATCCCAGTACTCAACCTCATAGTAGAGTTAATATTGAGCTTCGGCGCTTATCGTGGAAGGTTATTAATAGTATCATGTGGGAGAAAGCTCGCTAAGTGTCTGATGCCTCCTACTATTGTGTGAATGTGCGTAACTTTAGAAAACATCATTGGGTTCATCAATGCTCCGTTAAAACTGACCACAGGAGAAACATTGATAAAACCGTTCTATTTTTACTATAAACTACAGTGGAAACCTGACAGAACAGGAACGGTGGGACCAGAGAAAAAGTAGCCACTCCGTATCCCACACACTCAAAAACTCTGTAGTTGTTACAGTGAGTTTCACTTTATACTAATTATTTGTGGTGGCATTTAGGTGTGCATCATGACAAACCTTACGTTTATCCCCTATGGTGGGAAAAGGTAAGACACAGAGACCGAAACAACAGAGGGAAAGTAAAGAAGTAGAACCTACACCAGAGGTGCCCTCGTACCTCCCACAGTCTCACACTACATAGTCCATCTGACGTTCTATATAAAAAGCAAAGATTATCATTGATTCATACATTCATCTCGTGGGATAGACAGAATTTTTAAAAAAAAATGGTACAGTATGGAAGGTATGGGTTCCACGTCCAAATGATCACCGTTAGGTTAATTTATGAGGCAGGACCTCACTCAAAGTACAACGGTCATCTCTGGTTGGATGACTAACGTTTTAAAAAAGGCGGAAATAATGCTAAGTGACCATAGCCACCCACTGACATTGAAATTCCAATTATCGACCCGCAGTAAACGATACATTTCCAAAAGAGAAAGAACAGACACATATATATAGGAATTCATGAGAACCAACTGCAGTGAGGTTATTGAACACACAGTGCTACAAATGAGAGAGAAAGAGAAAGAGAGAGAGAGAAGAAGAGCAAGAGAGAGAGTTTTACGGAGCGGGTGTTTCAGCACGTGAGACACGTATTTACTAATATCCTGTCTTGTTGTGCATATGCATGAGTGCACCTAAGCTTTGTAACATTTACTGCCATTGTAAACGACCTAGACAAATTTCTCCCTGCCAGATGAATAAAGATTGTCATTGTCAAAGCCAGGAGGGAGGGGAATCAAATCAAACAACCTACGTCCACAAACTCCTAGATGGAGATTCAAAGATTGACGAGCGCCTGATTTATTTCACCAAGATGCCTCACACATATATGCATGTAACTTACTGTTTTATTTATACATGTACGTAAGTCATAACAAACCAAGTTTCCCCATGGAGATCAAGAGAAGTGGAATTTCATTTTCTTTCCCCCCATACATCCCCGCTCACAGTGTGTGAGACTCGCAGTTCACAAAGAGTACCAGGCTGGCAAACCTTTTTCCAAACCCAATCCGGAGCACCCAACTTGATAACATCAGACTGCGCAACAACTGACAAAATCACACCAGGTGGGACTGCTTTTGGCGTTACTCACAATATGTGAGACGTGCTGACAAAATGAGTCACTTCTGTTACTCACAATATGTGAGACGTGCTGACAAAATGAGTCACTTCTGTTACTCACAATATGTGAGACGTGCTGACAAAATGAGTCACTTCTGTTACTCACAATATGTGAGACGTGCTGACAAAATGAGTCACTTCTGTTACTCACAATATGTGAGACGCGCTGACAAAATGAGTCACTTCTGTTACTCACAATATGTGGGAACGTGCCGACAAAATGAGTTACTTCAGTTACTCACAATATGTGAGACATGCTGACAAAATGAGTCACTTCTCACAATCCACAAATGGAGATTTATAGTGGGCCAAAAATCAACACTAGGGTCAAATTTGTAGATTTTCTATTGATGCCATATTCTTTCAGTACAACAATAACATGCCTTTTATTATTTCATACTTATAAATTGTACCAACTTCACCTGTAAGCGTGATGTATCTATTTCCATACGGCTTGAATCCGAGAAGCAACTCATTTTGTCAGCACGTTTCACATACGATACCCGATACTTGACTTTTTCCAACCTCTGTTACCGTACGGTGTGGAGGGGAGCAGCAAACATCGTTTCCTTCTTTATTGTTCGACCCATGTCATGGTAAGGTTGTTGCTGTCTGATATTTCTGTGACACCCCCCCCCTCCCCCCCCCCCCCAATCCATCTTTTTCAGGTCCAGCCTATGAATAATTAAAGTCTCTCAAATTCCTGCTGGCCTAATCTAGGACAGTCCTGGGAAGTTTGGGACAGTTTGCTATCCTAGAATTACAAAACTGTCCTATCTGCTCAGTGCTTAATTTTGAGAAATTTGACAACAAAAGTTTTGAGGTTTAACAACGTCAAACCTTTTCCAATGGAATTCTTTATTAAATATCTCCTGATAACTACTCCGAACAATCTACAGATTTTGATAGAGCATACAGAACATTTGTGAGGCAGTGTGATGAAATCAGGCGCTCGTCAAAATAACGAAATTGGAGAAACAGGCATTTTTCCGCCATTTTGGACATTATTTTGAATTTTTTATTTTTTGGCGCAACCTCTTTTGAGTCCATAAAAGTAAATTTCCTTGTGAATTTTACGGAAAAACATCGATTAAAGGCACAACATAATATGTCACTTTTCAGTTTGCAAAGACTCTTTAGCTTTTGGATTTACCAAACTTTGGCAGCCATTTTCTCGCAAATTTCACTACTGAAACCAAGTGACCTCATTTCCTTCAATTGCAAATTTCTTGAATTCTATTCAAGATAAATGGATAGTTTTTTATTTGAAACAAAGCGAGTACATCAGCTTTCAGATGATACCAATAACTAGAGAAGCCCAAAAATTGACAAGCGCCTGATTCCACCATGTCAAGACACATTTGATTGCTGACCTTATGGTCTCGGTAACTCAAAACGGCCAAAAATCTCACATAGAAAACTTTGTAATTCTCAGGTAGTGAGTTGGCAAGGCTGACCACCTCTCTCAGAGCATCGTCTGTTCTTCTGCTACTGTGTTCCCCGTCAAGTGTCCCAATACAATGTCTCCACCTTCGACCCTGTTAGTGACAGCAGGAATAAAATAACCTCATAACATGCCCAACCCCCCTGCCCCCTCCCCTCCCCTCAATGAACGTAGATCTCCTCAATGCATCTTCATCCTGCGTCTCTTCTGGTTTTTCTGTTTCAGTTTCTCCCGCCTGGTGTCGGAGCTGCCCCCGCCGATCGAGGTGAACTCTACGTTGATCTTACGTCCGCCGAGTGTCGTCTGGTGCAGGCGGAGCGCGATCTGGCGACACAGAACATCGGTTAATAACAAGTGACCAATACAATGAGTTGACCTGGCTACTTGTCCGGGGCAACAACGTCATAGCACACCGGACAGGTCCATAAGTGCTCTGTTCCTCTCAGCACTAAAGCCCGCAAGTCCGCAAGGTAATGATAATAATAATAATAATAATAATAAATTGCATTTATATAGTGCATTTCCACAAAGAAGTGCTCAATGCGCTGTACAATAATAAACAAAAACATATGCCGTGCACAGCTCCTGTAGTAATCCTCTTTCTCTCTCTCTCTCTCTTCCTCACACACACTCTCTCTCTCTCTTCCTCACACACTCTCTCTCTCTCTCTCTTCAGTACATCTAGGAGTAAAGACAATCCCACAAAACATGTAATAGATACATACAACAAGAGACCATTACATACACAAGGAGCAACAGTTACAACAAGAGACCAGGCTCCCCCCCCCCTCTTCGATACAGTGTAGAAGGACCAATAAATACAGCGTAACAGTCCAACCCGCTCTACCGGCCACCTCAAAAACAAAACAAAATCACCTGTACAAACAGCATTGCGGGCTCTCATGGCCTAGAGGTTAAGGTGTTGGCCTTTCATTCAAAGGTCCCTGGTTCGAATCCGGGTAGCGACAGAAAAATTTTCTTCTCTAAAATTGTCTCCTTTCACCTCCTTTCCTGCTCTCTAGCAAAGTTCTGTTGTCTGCTTTCATTTCCACTTTCTGCCCCCACCCCCTCACCTCCTTTGCCCCCTCCTCTGGGCTCCTGTCTCTTTCTGCAGCCTTTCTACTGCTACTCCTTGGCTCCTCCTTACTGCTGTCTTACTGCCACACCCCAGATCTTCTGGTAGGAAAAATTTACACCCAGCCTTCTCGGACAAGGGCGAAAAATCTCGGAGGTCCCGTGTGCAAGTTGCGCACGTAAAAGATCCCTTGGTGGTCTAAAATCGATAAGAGTAGGCTTCGGCCGCCACCCGGGCAAAATTCAAAATTTCCTACCAACTGAAAATATTAGGTGTGTCCCGCGCGCTCATATGACCTTATGCAGTTGCGAGCGCCGTAAAACACTTTACAAAAACAAAACAAAAAACCCCAGCATTTCCCCATTAGTGATTTTCTGACACATTATAATGGCACTAGGTGACACTGTGTGAAATGTTGGTCACTTTTCTCCTCGATAACGGGTGGCAATCTGAGACGAGGGATGTAAACAGGTTTGGAAAAAAAAGGCGGAAAAATATACGGCGTGCGTTCACACTGAGAATACAGTGAGACTAAATTATATTTGTTTCTTTCCCTCTATTACAACAAATAATCTCTATTTAGAATATTATATAATGTATTGTCTACATAGCAGACTTTTGTTAAAAGCTGGGGCCCAAAATGGCAAGTCGGCTGGAAAAAGCAGGAAGATTTACATCCCTGTGAGACAAACTCAACTTTATACAGATACAGGAAATATAAATAACAGGTGACCACCACTACAATTTTAACCTTATACATACACAGATGTATCGATTAAGGCTGTGTATGTTTATTTGAGTTTATCGTTGTGTTTATCTAACTTGACTAGTCGCACGATATAAAGAAGTGATCTTGTTTGTTTTGTTTTGTTTGAGTAAAGAGTAGTACATCGATACGATACAATAACGGTCATTTAGTGCTGGGAAAAAGTAAGACAGACAGACAGAAACAACAGAGGAGAAAGTAAAGAAGTAGGACCTACCAATGGCACCCTCCAACCACCCACTTGGAGAAGAGGTCAATGAGCTAAATTATAGCTACTAACGAGGGCAATTACTACAAAAGTACGAGTGTGGCTGTGTTCTGGAGTAAGTCCCACCAACCTTAGCTTCAGAGAGAAAAGACACAGCACTGCAGTAACCAAGTGATAGGGTGTCCCGTTAAGATTTTTTGAGAGCTTGTCTCTACTTTTTCTTCACGATGAGTGAGAGGGAGGGAGAGGGAGAGAGAGAGAGAGAGAGAGAGAGAGAGAGAGAGAGAGAAGAGGGGAGAAGAAGAGAGAGAGAGAGAGAGAGAGAGAGAGAGAGAGAGAGAGAGAGAGAGAGAGAGGGTGGAGAGAAAGAGTAAGAAAGAGAGAGAGAGAGAGTGTGTGTGTGTGTGTGTGTGTGGGGCGGGGGGGGAGGTAGTGAGAGAGAGAGAGAGAGAGAGTGTGAGTGTGTGTGTGTGTGGGAGGAGGGGGGGGGAGAGACAGAGACAGAGAGAGAGAGAGAGAGACAGAGATAGAGGGAGAGAGACAGACACATGTCTTACCCCATGACTTATGCGGCCGTCAAACTCCATGTATGCGAACCCCCGGCCTCTGTCTGACCCTCTCTCTTTGGGTATACGGATCGACTTGATGCCACCTGGGGAAAGAAAGACACGCCAAAACATTGAATTTTTCTTTTCTTTGATTAAAGAGAAGCATATCACAACACAATTACAATAACGGACATTTAGTTCTGGGAAAAAGTAAGATGGACAGACAGAAACAACGGAGGGAATATAAAGAAGTAGGACCTGCCAGTGGCGCCCTCCAACCTGCCAGTGGCGCCCTCCAACCTGCCAGTGGCGCCCTCCAACCACGCGCCCAAAACATTGAGCTATAGAGAAGACCATGACGAAAAGGAAATTGACTTTGGACGGCCTCAGATCTTGTGTGTTTTGTTTAAGTAAAGAGAAGCACACTGACACAATAATTGTCATTTAGTGTTTCAGTAAGTTTTACGGCACTTGCAACACAATAAGGGCATATGAATAAGCGCCAAAGGTTAGAGGTGTTGCAAGAGAGTAACAAACATAAAAAAGGAGGAGAGATCAGGAAGATAAACGTTTGTTAGGAAAGAAGGAGCAAACCACACCCTGAGCACCCGCCAACCACTCACCGGGAAAAAGTGAAACAAACACACAGAATAGAAACAACAGAGAGAAAGTAAAGAAGTACGATCTACCAGTGACGCCCTCCAACCACCCGCAACTTTAGATCTGAGCACTAAATCAAAACGAAAATTTTTTTTTTTTAAATTTAAACACAAACACGAGACTTCAAGTCAGAGGATATACAGTGGAAACCTGATATAACAGGGATGGTGGGACCAGAGAAAAAGTCTTGTTATATCAGAGGTGCAAGGGAGGTAAGCATTTGTGGACTAACCCAGCTGTATTTATTCATGGGTAGTTTCCCTTGTTACAAGTACCCATGAGGTTAGCCCAGGACAGAGAAAGCTGGAAAGTGTTTGTCTGTGGCCTATACCCAGGTGCAGGGCGATGTTGTTTTAGTAAGAGTTTTACGGCGCTCGCAACTGCATAAGTGGTGCAGGGTGAGAAATGCAATGAAGATGAACAACAAGTCAAGAATACCAAAAAGACTTTGGGAGCATTTGAATTTTTTTTCTTTTTAGCAGAGAAGTATCCGATGAAAGATAAAACTCCATTTCAATCTCCAGTGGCCTGCTGGTTATTGAGCTCAGGTTCACAGTAATATCAAGCATTATAATATATAGAGTGGGTGGTGACTCATGTCTTTAAGATTTTTTGGTAAGTTTATCAAAGTACGAGTTTCACAGCACTTACAACACATTAGGTCATATAAGACCTCAAGATTACAGGTATTACAAGAGAGTAAACACACAAAAAAGAAGGAGGAGAGATAAGGACAGCAGATGTTTGATAGGAAAGAAGGAGCAAACCACACCAGAGCACCTGCCAGCCGTCCACTGTAAGTGTTTTATGGCATTTGCAAAACAATTAGGTCATATAAGTGCCAGAGATTAGAGGTGTTACAAGAGAGTAACAAGCACAAAAAAGAAGGAAAAGAGATAAAGACGACAGATGTTTGATAGGAAGGGGCAAACCACACCAGAGCACCCACCAACCATCCAGTCATGTGTTCATCGACAAAAGAGGATAACTGAAGCTCAAAAACAAAGCATTGCAAAGAGGTGACCAACAAGTGTGTTTTGCTTGTCTGTATTAGTCTGGTACAGTGTCAAATTGATTAAATATTACAGGTACATGATCTATGTATGCCACTGACATCATAAACCAAATTTCTAAACTGGCATCAACAAAAGTGGAGAAAAAAAAAATTCCAACACAAATCTACAAATCTTGACCTACACCAAAAGTAGGCATATCCCTACCTATAGAAGAAGTTTGGTTTCATTGGTATGTATATTTGTTTGGTTATATAAAGAGAACTCTCCTTGTCTTTGAAAGACACTGAACAAGTGGCAAAAACTTTACCTTCGATTTTCTCAAAACAGCATTTTTCGGGATAGCCCCTTGTGCTTAAAAGCGACCATTTTATATAACAGACCACTGAGATACAAAGGCACATGACAGGTTACAGAATCCACAAGAGTTCACCCAGTAAAGGTTTAGTTTTAGTTTTAGTAAAAGCTTTACGGAGCTCGCAACTGCATAAGGTCATATGAGCGCCAAGAGGTGGATATCAACAGATAAGTCCTTACAGGGAATCAGACTTACTCTGCTCACCTCTCTAGCTTCAACAGCACAAAGTCTGCTTCGACTATCAAGGCACCCCAGAAATAGCGGGTCACAAGAGATCACATACAAAAAAAAGTAGAGGAAAAATGACGATAGTAAGGGTTAGGAAAGAAAAAGCAGCAACGCAGTAAAGGTAGGCACTGACAGACAACCTCAAAGCAGCCCACTAGTCTATAGACCTAAACTGCTTCAATGACGAAGATGTAAAACATCTATAATCATTCTCTTGAGAATCCAGTTCATGGGCACTCACCCGTCTTCCTGAAATGCTCCTCCAACTGCTCCTTCGTCACGTCATAAGGCAAGTTCCCGACGAACAACACATATTTTTTCGAGTCTTTGTTGGCCTCGTTGGCGGAGGTGTCAATCTGTCCGTTGATCAGACTGAGCGAGAATGTGTAGGAATCAAACACCTGGCTGTCCTCCACCACTGCTGCCTTTGCTTTCTTCACCTGCTGCTGCGGCTGCTGCTGCTGCTGATTTTCTGCTGTGTCAGATTTCCTCTTCACCGCCTCCCCCGAGTCTGTCTGCAGAGGTTTTTCTCCTCCTCCTCCTCCTCCTCCCCCCTTCTTTTTCTTCCTTCTTGTATCCACATAAAGGTTCTGGATGATTTTACTGTGGAATCCCCTGTTTAAGTCTGGTTCGTATTTCAGACTGTCTGGTTTGGCAATGGTTTCTCTGTTCCCTGAAGGAAAGGAGAAAAGTTTTTACACAACAAATAAAAATTACAAACTGTTTCTCATACTTTCACACTGGCTTCAAACAGTTTAACTATATAAGAAGTTTTTACAAAACAAATAAAAAGTACTAACTGTTTTTCATACTTTCACACTGACTTCAAACAGTTTAACTATAATATAAGCAGCTCAATTCCTATCACAAAAATTGATGGGCAAAAAAGTGGGAAGCCATGGAATAATAACATCAAGAAGCTCGCCCAGGAACGAGAAAGGTAGAAAGTGGGGTTTTTGGGGGGGTTTTTTAGTAGAGGTTTTACGGCACTCGCAACTATAAGGTCATATGAGCGCCAGAAGATTAGAGGTGTTACAAGAGAGTGACAAATATAAAAAAGAAGAAGAGGAAATAGGACAATAAATGTTTGATAGGAAAGAAGAAACAAACCACACCAGAGCATCCGCCAACCACCCACAGGAAGTGTTTGTGATCTAAACCCTGAGGCAGGGTGAGAAAGACAATGATGATGATGATCTCAGTTCCTAAGCCATTCCCTCCCAAGTCACAAGCAAGAAAATCCAAACCAAAATATCCCGCCACAATCTGTTACCTGACTACATTCTGAAATTTCCAGAAAGCAATGAAACAAAAAAACCCTATCAGATTCACATCAGTATTACTATTGTAATAGTTGGTCGGCTGGCTCTCTTCGGAACTCCTTCTAAATAATCTGCTTTTGCTATGTTTTATTTTTTTATACTTTTGTGGATTTAGCATATTATGTTGTTACAAAGCCCTTTCTAATAAATTATAATATATATAAAACACCAAACACTCACTCAATTTCTTCCTCAGACTCTCGGAACCTTGTGCCGACTCTTGGTCACCCTCCACTGTGTTGTCCTCTGCGACTAGCGGTGGTGGCGCCTTCTCCTTTTCTTTGGCCGGAGGTGAAGACATCTTATTTCCTCCCTTCTTCTTCTTGCTCCACCAGTCCTTCCTTCTCTCTTTCCGACTTGTGGCAGAATCAACTTTTACTGGCGCACCTCCATTCACAGATTTTATGGCACCATTCGAGATGGCATCAACCCTGTCGCCTAATTTTACTCGCAGTGAAGTAGATGCCATGGAGACAGGAGATCTATTTTAAAAAAATAAAATAAAGAGTGGTATTCGTTTCATGCACAATTAGAGGTAAGATGTCTGTCGTCTATTGTATTTTTCTCTGGTCCAGTTCTGTCTCAGGTTCCCCCAGTTTCTTGGCATTTGCCTCCACTGTCCCCACAATGTTGATCCTAGCCTTCCCCTATCTCTGTAACTCAGACCCTTTTCTATCTCTTCACCTTTCTGGCAATACTTGTATTCAGTGTTCTTAATGTTCAATGAAAAAGAAAACAGCAGACTAAAGTACAGGGGCGTCGGTAGCCTAGTGGTTAGGCTACCGGACTCGTAATCGTGAGATTGCGAGTTTGGGGGTCGAGCCTCAGCTCGGCCCGACGTTGTGTCCTTGGGAAAGGCACTTTACACGAAATTCCCACTTGGCTCGGTCCTATTGGAGATGGACGTTAAACTAGGAGGTCCCGCCTCTTAAATAACCTAATAGTGTTGATAGGGGCGTTAAACATATATACCATTTCACCATTTCAGACAAAAGTTCTGGAAAGTGTGAGCTGGCGACCTGATCCAAAAGGAATTAACAATCAACACAGTCTTGGTACCATAGTCTGATTCAGAGACTATCAGGAAATGTTGCCTGGTATTGACTTCTTCCGTTTAATGACGTAAAACCCAAGATAAGCTCCTGTCAGAAATATATAAAATATTCTACATCTGAGTAAGGGAAGACTGTGAAACCTAGGCCTAGCCTATACCATGCGTGTAAAATATTTAACCCTATCTGTACATCGCATTTTACTATTGTATCCATACGAGGGAAACTTTGTGCCACCACTTTCCAACAAGGAAATTTACATATTAATCCGATCCGTATGCTTTGCATTATAGCAGTGTGTCAAAATGATTTTTTGAGAAATACTGAAAGTCCCAAAGAGATCTTCACACTAGAAGTATACTAAATAAAAGGCGAAGAATACTTGTCCCCGGGGTTTCAAAATGAACCCAAGAAGTAGGGATAGGGTTAAAAAAATAAATCATCATGATTCATCATCACACTACCAAATATCATGATTCAATATGACAAACTTTAAGTGAAATAAAACAAGTCACACGTTATACTACAACACTTGTATTCCTTAGCCTGTCCTCTAAACTACACAATCATTTTTACAAAGTGAATATTTCTCCAAACGCTCGGGAAAATTTAAAACTTGATCTCTATTTCTTCTAACGGTTTCCGTCCTCGATATTTTTTGGTTATTGCGAGATTTAGGCATCATCTTTCATAATGCCATTTTGCCATTCTGCGAGGACCGGCCCGAAGAAGCATTTTTTGCATCGAATTCAATTTCTAGAGCAAGAATCTAGATCTAGAGATATCTAAATGTCTGAATATTCAGATACTTCAGTTATGGTTGGGGCAACGTTCCCGGGCTATACTTCATTTGAAAATGCTTTCAAAAGGTACTGCGAGAAAACAGGACAGCTTGACCTTGGCTTTGCAGTAGCCTATTTTGCATTTCCTTTGCATATTTTAGTCACCCCTAAAACAAACACTAAAATCCTTCACGTAAACAAACAAAAAATCCCCTCCCCGCGCTTCGTTCACACCTTTTACACACACGCACACTCTCACACATATACGCACACTGGTGCACGCCACTCCTTTCGCAAATTATCAACAAATCTCGAGAACGGAAACCGTTCGGAGAAATAGAGTCCAAGTTTATTTTCCCCAAGCATCCAGAGAAATAGAGCCGGCCTAAATTTTAGGGTTTACTTTCTCGCATTTAATTCCTGAGGAGGACTTCCGTAACGAGCGACCACTCTGAACTAATAACATTAGCCTATAATACTCAATGGCCATCATAATCAGTACAGAAGGCCTAAAGCCAGTATGTTACTAGAGATATATCTAGATCTAGATCTACCTGCCTAAAGAAAAGAAGAGGCTATTTCAGTCCATGACAGTTTCACTTACATTACTAGACTTAGATAGATCTATATTACAACATGTGGATCTAACAACAATCACATTGATAGGATACTTTTTAAAAAATATTTCGCTAAGTCTAAGTAGTGTGAGTAAAGACAAATCAAATGTTAGATCAAGACCTATCTAGAGATAGATCTATTATCCATTATGGAAAGTGTGAGTGTAAAGCCAGAGCCAGAAGAGAAAGCGTGCAAACAGACAAGATCTCTCGATCTAATCTAGAAATCTAAATCTAATCTAATCCTTGAGAAAAAAACAATTAAACCAAATTATCACATTTTGTTTGAGTCATCACTTACAACAGTTCTATATCAAATAGAGAGGTGGTTCAAATATTACTTGAGGTGCTTCTTAATTGCAATAACCAGTTTCTTCCGCTGAATTTCTTGTCGTTTCTACTGAAAAAAACTATGTCAATAAGAGCATTCTTTGTTTCGTTTTTCATGCAAAATGTCACGAACACAATTACTATAGTAAATATAAAATATAAACTACAAAAGGAGCGGAACTTTGTAGATTTGTAAATTTGTCTATCCATGAAAATAAAGGAATAAAGTTTCAAAACTCTGTTTGAATTTCTAACAGTCTTAAAATCTAAATACTTCTACTTATCAAATGTCATTTTTCATTTTACCGTTGCTTTAAAGCAACAACAGCAATAAATTTCACTCTTAAGGTACGAAACAAAACTGTAAGCAAACAATGATAATTGGGTCAAAGGGGACGTTACTCTGCTTTTGTTTAGACTGCGATTGTTTTGATTTTAGTCAGCTGTTCGAGGGAGACAAAAACACAGAAGGGTCAACCAGCTGTTATTCTCTTTAAAATCATGTTGAGTTTAGTGATATTTTGTGCATCAGCACTGATGTACTGCAGGGCTGATATAATTGCAAACTTCGTAATGCCACACGGAGGAATAGCTTTAGACCCGTCTCATTTTAACTCCACTAACTCAACAGCCGTGAAGCAAGCCTGGGAACTCCATCGGGCCTGTGTTGAAGTTGGAGACGAAATCGCGAGCTTACAACCCGACCTCATCGTGCTCAGTACGCCACATGGAATTGCAGATTTGAAAAATTTTATTTTTTACCTAAACCCTGTAGCTTCAGGATACGCAGACACTGACAACTGTAATTGCCCTCCCTGTTGTTACAATGTCACTGTCAATGTTGATGTGGAGATGACAGAGGAGCTAGTTACTGGTTTAGGGTATCGAAATGTTTCTGGACTAAGTGGCTATGGACCTCCAGGGGGTAGCTCCGAGCCATTTCCCCTCAGGTAAGATCAGGAAGCCCTTTTTGAGTATTGGAGTGTCTATGTACTCGGTAACCTGCACAGTCACAGTGTTTATACTGCTCGACAGAAAAAACCCTAGACTGACGAAAAGACAGCACACAAACAGACACAGACTGACTGAAATGCATTGAGACACACACTGACACTCACATGCACACACTCACTTACACTCACCTCACACACACACACACACGCGCGCGCGCGCGCGCAATGCACAACCCATCTTGGCCTCACAAATCTCTCATCGCCTGACACATTGTCATTGATTGCCATAATAAATATATATTGTAGTGGCCCCTAGAACCGTGGCCAAGCCATCATATTCCATTTATTGTTACTATTGTAAGTGCCTGCTACAAATGAACCACTCACTGACCATCGCACTAGTAAAGTTACTGGTCCCTCGCCACTGTTTACTAAAGTTGACCTGTCAGCAGCAAGAAACTTTCAGTTGCAGATGAGTGAGGTGTAGAAACCGTGATAATCTGTTATCCCCTATCGCTACTGACCCATCAGCTCACCACTCATAAATCATAGAATAAATATGGACTTGCAACGGATAGATCTTAAGTTGCTTGTTCACCAACTGTTGGGGATCCATTTGTTTGTTTTATCCCACACCTTTTTAACTTTTTCAATCCTTTTGCCCTTATCAGGCATCTTTTCAGACATTCACAGATCATCATTTCTTCTTAAGCTCACTCTTTGTTATGAACTGTGTTCACAGTTATTAAAAATGGAGATACGGCAAGAAAGCACTGAGGTCGCGAGATAGACAAATGCTGATATATATACTATAAAGGACTAACATAGACACACACACAGAGACACAGATGGAAATTTTTAGACAGATGAAAAGAGAGACAAACAACTACACACAGACAGACCCACAAACAGACTCAGACTAACTGAGACATGCACTGATACAGACACTCACTGACACACGCACATGCACACACACAACCCCAAATCTTCCTTTCTATACTCCCTCTAACAGAAAAAAACAACATTTTAGTGGGTCTTACAGCAGTCCTGAGCATGTGATCTCCTCCATTAAGACTGCAGGAGGGAATTGTTTGTTTCTTCATTAGCATCTGCCCGACCCGAGACATCCTCCGGTCTAAGATAACCATTTTTCTCCTGGACAATGGGTGGGCCGTGTTGGGCAATTTTGACTGTATAGCTACATTTTTTATTTAGAGGGATTTCTTTTTGGAGTCTTTTGCTCTTCTATTTAATATCTTGAAAGAGCGGCATGTACTATCGATCTGTAAGGCAAGATGTGAAGACTACGGTTTCCCAAAAAACCATACGACCCTTTTGTTCAAATAATTTTTTACGTATGAGGTTGGAAGATGAAATGATTTTATGAATGTGTACATTTTTTTCTTTCTTTGTTTCTTGACCTACTCCGGAGGCTTTCCTCTCTTCGGACAAAATTAGATTATAATTCTAATAGACATGTTTTCTGATCTTATCCTACCAAGATGGGGTGAAGTTATCCCTTTCCACTTTGTTCCAAAACTGAACTGCTCAAAGGTTGCTATCTTATCGCAGCCAAGTCGTCGATACAAGTATGATGTGGAAATGATACCAGAACTTTTACGACTCGGTAAGTTCCAGCCCATCATTTTAAAGAAATTTCTACTCCAAATCGATGAATTGAAATTAAAAAGACTCATTCATGCTTAAAAATAAAGAATGAATAAATAAAAATGAAACTTTATTAATCTTCGTAGGGTAATTTTGGTAATTTAACTATAACTTTTTTTCTGAATGATCCCCTCACATTATAGTTGAAGTGATGGGCAAGGCTTGGATGAGGCATGACAGGAGCCCCTGTTTTTTAGATGAAGGGTGAAGAAAGAAAATGAGCTAGTGTCATTTTAAAAGTTTTTAGTGGACAGCACATTTTACACAATCAAGCTGGTAGTGAAGGAATATACTGGAATTTTTATTTTTGGCTCCACCACTTTTCTGTCCATATAAAAACACATTTAATTTCCATGTGAATTTTACTGAAAAACATTGATCTTTTGTTTTACAATGGCTTATATATTTATATATATGTACATAAATACCTAAACATACAATGTTATGCAATATATAGTTTGTCACATCAAGTAAAGACAATCAACATACATACAATTTCTGGATGTCATTGTGCAGCGTGAGGCACACAGAGACAGAAACACTGACGAAATAGATCATATTTGTATAAAAATAGATCACACTTGTATAAAAATAGATCACACTTGTATAGAAATAGATCACACTTGTATGAAAAATAGATGATACTTGTATAGAAATAGATCACACTTGTATAGAAATAGTTCACACTTGTATAGAAATAGATCACACTTGTATAAAAAATAGATCACACTTGTATAGAAATAGATCACACTTATATAATACTTGAATAGAAATAGTTCACACTTATATAACACTTGTATAGAAATAGATCACACTTATATATAGAAATTGATCATACTTGTATATAGAAATAGATCATGCTTGTATCAACATTATACCTGTATGGACATAATGCCAAGTGAACTAAAAAGGTTACTGTGCCTCTTTCTCGTCACAGGAGCAGGTCTATTTGACTACTTGGAAAAGACGAGGAAAAGAGTGGTGGTGATCATCAGTGCTGACTTGGCCCACACACACCAGGCCTCCGGGCCGTACGGCTACTCCAACACGTCAGAGCCCTTTGACCTGGTCAGTAAACGTGTGGTTGAAGTTTGATTCCTTCTGGGTGTAAGTGCTGTGGATTTTGTGATCTATTGGCTTCTTAACACTTTGCCGTCACATTTCGCCAATCGCCGATGTTTACCTCCCAGTTTCTTTGGATTTTCTCTAAAATGCATTTGCCTTTGATGGCAAGGGTTTTTTCTATATATTAGCCGTGTGATGGCAAAGAATTAAAGTAAGTCTTTTTATAGACTATTTGTGTCAGGACGCTGTGGAATCAGGCGCTCGTCAATTTTTGGGCATAAGGAGTTATTGGTATCATTGTAAAGGTTGGAGGCGGGGTCGCCTGGTTTCGGAAGTAAAATTATCAGAAAATGGCTGCCAAAGTTTGGTGACTTCCATAGCTTAAAAAATCTCTCAGAAAAGTGTATTTTAATGGACATACGAAGTGTTGAGCCAAAAAACAAAAAAAATTTTTAAATGTCAAAACTGGCTGAAAATGCTGATTTCTCAGATTTCATTATTTTGACAAGTGCCTGATTTCACCACGGTGCCTCATATTTGTACTTGCTCTTAGTTTTTTTAAATGGAAGTCTGAACTTTTGGTTGGTTGATGCTTGTGGAATTTGTTAACTATTAACTTCTTAAAGAAAATCTTTGTGGATTTTGTTAACTATTAACTTCTTAAAGAAAATCTTTGTGGAATTTGTTAACTATTAACTTCTTAAAGAAAATCTTTGTGGATTTTGTTAACTATTAACTTCTTAAAGAAAATCTTTGTGGAATTTGTTAACTATTAACTTCTTAAAGAAAATCTTTGTGGATTTTGTTAACTATTAACTTCTTAAAGAAAATCTTTGTGGAATTTGTTAACTATTAACTTCTTAAAGAAAATCTTTGTGGATTTTGTTAACTATTAACTTCTTAAAGAAAATCTTTTTGTGTACTATTTGTACATGCACACCTTTTTCTATGGAAGTCCGAGCTTTTGGTGGCAGTCCATTTGATTGTTGACAGTGATAATTATGTCTACCGTATGTCTCACCTGACTTACCACGGCCTACCGCAATATTGTGTTCTACGGTAAGGCCTGCGTAGGGTATTCTCTCTATATATATAATATTTGTGAAAGTTCGTCTCTTTGGCGGCCTAAAACTTTCGAACCACTTAACTTTCGAATTTGACAAAATTAATAGTGGTTCAGAATCATTGAAAGGGTGCACAGTTTTATTGTGGAGCCTGAAGTCACTGTAGTTTAATTTTCAGTTTTTCATTAGTTTTGCTTAGATCTAATCTTGGGAAAGTCCGTCTTCTAAGACGCCATTATAAACAAGTGTGGTTTCCGTTCACTAGTCGTGCGCACTGATTCCACACCTTTGAAATGCTGGAGTGTACAACCACGAAAGCGGAATAGAGAATCAATCTATACATCTATTATATACTATTTGGCAACTTGGAAACACGCATGTCACTTTTCTCTCAAGATTTATTGCTCCATTCCCGTAGAGTGTAAATATAGTATGCCAATGACTTTCAGGTGATGTTAATGCACCGATCATTCCTTTCATCGAAAGGGGGCCCAGCTAGTTCTACATATTTTTATACGATAACTCCAACACCCTGATGCACTATTCTCAAGAAATCGAAGGGTGGGTGCCCCTCCCCCCCCCACCCCATTTAAATTGCAACCACCTAAAGATTTTTTGCTACAGTCAAGGACAGTCCCAAGTCTGTAGAAATGCAGAGGGAACATGTCTAGTGCTGTGGATTGTAGCAGGCTGTCAGTAGACGGTCTAGTGGAACAGAAACATCGCAGTAGACCATTAGCTGGACTGGTTCGCAACTTTCTCTCTCCTTCCCTTCCTCCCTTCTGTCTGTCTGTCTGTCTGTCTGTCTGTCTGTCTGTCTGTCTGTCTGTCTGTCT